TGAACCTCGGGCAGAATTCGAGTGACATAAATTACNCTATATTATCTAATTATATAACTATTTATCCTCCATTATCTCTAATTCAGTTACATAACTCCCTCTTCCTTTTTCACGTAAACCTCCCACTCACACACTATCATATGCACACACAGTTATATTCATATACAAGGGGATCCTTTCTTATAAATACACACTGGGAAGAGAAGAAAAGGGAGCAACAAAATGGAGAGGATATAAAAAAAAAATTTCAGCAATTAGGAGATATTCACTGCAATCCATTGACTACATTCCAAAGAACAATTCTTATTCTCCAAATCTGTATTGTTCAAAATTCAAAGAGAAGGTGGATTTTTCGTTGAGTCGTTTTCCGTTGCCGTCGAGGTTTTCTGGTCCGGGTTTTCACTCATATACCCCTGCTGTAACCGGAAAGGCTGTCAATCTTTGAGGTCAATTTCCTACTCTAATCTTAAAATTTCCTCTCCGTTTTCTCGTTTCTTGGCTTCGACGATTATGTTTGTCATGTGATTGTTCTGCTTGTTTTATTGTTTGCTTAAAACTTTCTTATAAGTCTAGAGAATCTGATGCATATTACTCTTGGTGCATGTTGTTCTCTAGTTCTTTGAGAAATAGTATTTGATTTTACAATTGTGTAAAGGCTTTTCCTTTCAAAAAGAAAAAATAAGAAGGAAAGAAAATGATTCTTCTCCTGATAGGATTTACTGGAGCATATAATGAGCCATAGGTTTTTATGAATATTGATAATATAGTAAACTCTTAAAAAACTTGGCCATATCTGATGTCTAAGCCTGCGCACGCACATTCACCCTTTGCGGTTGTGCATCTCGTTATGAAATATGGGAGCCATCATTAATTGGGGTAATTTGAACATTCAATGGATTTAGTTTTGTAATTCAATTTTTTTTAAATAAAGAATCCATGGGAATTAGGAGTTTGTAATAATGGAAAGAGAAGATCAGGTCGTTAATCTGGCCTTAACAAGATCGTTAATGCTTTGTTCTTTAATAGGTATTTTTCTCCGAAAATAATTACAAAAGCTAAATCACATTATCTCTCCCGTAATAATCATCCATAATTCATGGCTTCACGTTCATCTCAAATCTTAGGAATAATCAAATTACGAAAATCATAATTTGCTTTAGGCGCGTATTAATAAATAAATCATCGTGATTGTGTACACGTTCGCGTGACATAATCACGATTTCTAAAAAAACAAAACCGGAGTATGCGTTCACGCAACCTCGGACAAATTTTCTTGATATTAATAAAGCGTCATTAATTGTGGACACGTTCGCGTGACATGATTTTTGACGCGCCAAACAAATGGGTACACGTACGCGTGACCCGTTTCAAGATAAATTTCTTAATTAAAAGCGGAAAAAAGGAAAATGTGCATAGGTTCTAAAATAAGTAGTTAAACAATTTAAGCCAAGTATAAATCACTAAGCGACCGTGCCAGAACCACGGAACCCGGGAATGCCTAACACCTTCACCCGGGTTAACAGAACTCCTTATCTAGAATTTCTGGTTCGCAAACTTTAAAAAATAAAATTTTCCTCGATTTGGGATTTAAAAATAAACCGGTGACTTGGGACACCAAATAAATTATTCCAAGTGGCGACTCTGAAAAATTAATAAAATAATTCCATTTCGAATAATGTCACTTTGATTGGAAAAACTCTCTTATACCCCTTCGGGTGGGTAAAAAAAGAGGTGTGACAATGCCAACGAAAGTTATCTGCGCAGATGATTGCAAAAAGACTGTTGTTAGCCCCTTGACAGTGATCCTCGACAGGTGTGGGTTGTGACAAGTATTTTCATGATGGACTTGGCACACAACCTGAAAATTGGGGCAACATCATGACGGGCAGCTCGGCATGACGGACTATGCGGGGTTTGACAAAGGCACCTTGAACGGAAGCAAGGCGCATTTTACTTAAACGTGCGGGTTGGCGAAACAATGGCAAGGCAAAGCCATGTCGAGCAGGGGCAAATACATGGCAAGGCAAGGCAAGGCAATGCGGTGCAAGCAATGGCAATTGATGCAGGCAGATTTGATCAAGTTGGGGGCGACTTGACATGAGCGGGCAGTTGTGGCAATGAACGTGTGCGGCTAAGTCGATGGGCGGCGAGCTGTGGCAATGGCATTGGCGCTGAGCAGTGTCAAGGGCAAGGCTGGGCGCAATGCCAGCCTTGGGCACAAGGCAGCTGGTCGAAATTGGCACATGCTGTGCACAAGCAGCAGTTGAAAAACATGTGCCAAGCACATGGGGAAGCAGTTGGCGGTTGCAACTCCTTCAAAGACATGCTGATCATGGCCCAAAAACATGGGGGCATGTTTTTGTACTTGTCCTAAATTATTTGCCTATCAGTTGGGGCTTGTAATTGATTGTAGCCTTATAAATATGTGCCTAGGGTGCCAAAAACGGGGCAGAACTTAGTCTAAGGCATTGTGTTAGCCAAAATTCGTCTAAGTCATTTCCTAGGGTGGGAAAAATCATTTTGGGGCAGGGAATTAGGGAATTCTTTGTCTTGGCCATAGGGTTGGCTTTTGTGTTCTTGTATTCAGATTATTAATACAAGTTGGGAAGAAATTCCTATATATCGTGTGCCTTATTTACTGTTTTTGCTGCCTATTTTCATTCTATGTTCAAAACCTCCCTAAAAATAAACTAAGTGTTGGAAAGGCTGAAATCAAGGCTGGGCTTGATTGCCGCACGGAGGTGAACCTCGGGCAGAATTCGAGTGACATAAATCACCCCTGTGACAACTGGTATCAGAGCGTGGTTGGATCGGGGCGACGACACAACGTTCAGTGGCTGAATTTTGTGAAGAATGGCTGGTGGCAACGCAGAACTGAGGGAAAAGGTTGCTGTATTAGAGGCACTCGTCGGAATTGTTGATGGGGATCAATTTCTGACCATTGTGACTCGTCTCGCCTATCTTGAGGCCGAGATGACCAGGCTGAGCCAGGAGTGCACAGATCTGAAAACGGAAAATGGGTTGCTGCGTCGGGCTGTTGGCAATGATGAAGCACAGCGTGGGGCAGATCGTACCAAAGTCAGAATTCCGGAGCCTAAAGAGTTTAATGGCGCAAGGAGTGCCAAGAAACTCGAAAATTTCCTGTGGGATATGGAGCAGTACTTCCATGCTGCTAAAGTGCAAGATGAAGATAAGGTCACCATTACGACTATGTATTTGGTGGACGATGCAAAGCTTTGGTGGCGGACGCGCGTGGCAGATGATGTAAGTGCTGGTAGGCCGAAGATTGACTCTTGGGAAGGGCTGAAGAAGGAGTTGAAGGATCAATTCTTTCCTAGCAATGCGGGCTGGATTGCTAGAGATCGTTTAAAAAAGTTGAAACAAACTGGAACGGTCAGGGATTATGTCAAAGAATTTAGTTCTTTGATGCTGGATATAAGCAACATGTCTGAGGAGGACAAGCTGCATAATTTCCTTTATGGGTTGCAGTCATGGGCGCAAATGGAACTACGAAGGCAGAATGTGAAAGACCTTCCTAGTGCCATTGCCGCTGCGGATGCGTTGGGTGATTTCCGGTTGGGACAAGATGGTTCTGATTTCTCTACTACTTCAAAGTCCAAAAATGGGAACAAGGACAAGGCAAAAGAGTGGAGGAAAAACGCAAACGACAAGGGAAATGCTGTTGAAGGCAATAGCAATTAGAAGGGAAAGCAATGTGCTGGACCTTCGACAAAATGGGGGAAAAACAGCAAGTTTGATGGCTGTTTTATTTGCAAAGGACCACACATGGCGAGGGACTGTCCAAGAATTGAAAAGCTTTCAGCGTTGTTTGCTGAAGAAAAATGTGAAGATGAGCCAAATGAGGAAGAACTGGAGCAAACAACGGCATATGTAGGACCTATGGTGGTGCTGAAAAATGCGGAAACTACTTCGTCGAGGACGATGAATTCTTCTGGTGGGGGTGGCTTGTTAGCCCCTTGACAGTGATCCTCGGCAGGTGTGGGTTGTGACAAGTATTTTCATGATGGACTTGGCACACAACCTGAAAATTGGGGCAACATCATGACGGGCAGCTCGGCATGACGGACTATCCGGGGTTTGACAAAGGCACCTTGAACGGAAGCAAGGCGCATTTTACTTAGACGTGCGGGTTGGCGAAACAATGGCAAGGCAAAGCCATGTCGAGCAGGGGCAAAGACATGGCAAGGCAAGGCAAGGCAATGCGGTGCAAGCAATGGTAATTGATGCGGGCAGATTTGATCAAGTTGGGGCGACTTGACATGAGCGGGCAGTTGTGGCAATGAACGTGTGCGGCTAAGTCGATGGGCGGCGAGCTGTGGCAATGGCATTGGCACGGAGCAGTGTCAAGGGCAAGGTTGGGCGCAATGCCAGCCTTGGGCACAAGACAGCTGGTCGAAATTGGCACATGATGTGCACAAGCAGAAGTTGAAAAACATGTGCCAAGCACATGGGGAAGCAGTTGGCAGTTGCAACTCCTTCAAAGACATGCTGATCATGGCCCAAAAACATGGGGGCACGTTTTTGTACTTGTCCTAAATTATTCGCCCATCAGTTGGGGCTTGTAACTGATTGTAGCCTTATAAATATGTGCCTAGGGTGCCAAAAACGGGCAAGAACTTAGTCTAAGGCATTGTGTTAGCCAAAATTCGTCTAAGTCATTTCCTAAGGGTGGGAAAATCATTTTGGGGCAGGGAATTAGGAAATTCTTTGTCTTAGCCATAGGGTTGGCTTTTGTGTTCTTGTATTCACATTATTAATACAAGTTGGGAAGAAATTCCTGTATATCGTGTGCCTTATTTACTGTTTTTGCTGCCTATTTTCATTCTATGTTCAGAACGTCCCTAAAAATAAACTAAGTGTTGGAAAGGCTGAAATCAAGGCTGGGCTTGATTGCCGCACGGAGGTGAACCTCGGGCAGAATTCGAGTGACATAAATCACCCCCGTGACAACTGCCATAGTTGTACTGAAACTCACAAAATATTACAAACACAATCAGTGACTCTAACAACTCAATCCAATACAAGCCGGTAAACAAAAAAATAAGAATAGATCCATTACATGGTTATTTTTATCGTAGTATATACTTCACTATAATAAATGAGAAATTCAACGAACTCCTCGATTTCTTCAATTTAAAGAAAAGTAGCCAAGGCAATCGAGGATAGACTGAGCAGAAAACTGGCCAATACGATTGATGAGGACGAAGAAGAAGGAGGAGCACTAATAGAACTTGACGGTCCAGCAACAGCTGATGTAGGTGCACACGCTTCCGGTTGGTTGGAAGAGGATGGTGAAGGCACGACTGGAGTGATAGGACTGCTTCGTGTAGGCGGGTTAGCCCCTGGAGTACCAGTGCTGGAAACTGTAATAGCCAACTTTTGGCCATTTTGGCAATGCCGGCCAAAAGTGCAAATGTAATAGTGATCTCCAGTAGAGTCAAGAGTCACATTCGCTGGTCCTGTCATTATGGGATTGCCTATGGCATTTTGTGAATTGCACCCATCGAATGAAGTTTTTGGTACTTGCAGAACGTCATGTGAGTCGGTCATAAAATTGAAAACTGTAAAAAAAGAAGAAAAATACAAAATGATAATAAGGTACTGAATTTAGTTTAAGTTGAAGGATATCTCAAAAGGAAATCTGGAACGAGAAATTTAAGTGTACCTAGAGTGTCACCAATGCTGAAGGTTTTCCCAGCAGCCCAATTTGTGTAAGCTGCTGCGCCACTGCTCGGAATGGTCCAACCTATGTTGTCCCCAACCACATGCACCATTTGGGCTGTAGTATCTTGCACCAAACTTGTGACGGCTAAAGTAACAAAGACAATCAACATTTTGTCCATTGGCTTTGATTTTTGGTAACTTTCTTCTTTCGAAATAAGATTTTTGGAAGAAATCCTATCACAAATGAGGGATATGCTAATTGCTAGTTTGCTAGAGGAGGATGAGATACTTAGAACAATTTGGCTCTGTTTATATAAGGGAAATGATTTTGAATTGGTCTAGACTCTTAACTTGCATGGTGCTAAGTCTTGAATTTCAACTATAGCAAGCGCGGTGAGATCAAAGCAGGAATTTAATGCAGAGTGAACAATCGGTACGTTAATGCTTGAAAGAAGAAGCCGAAAAAGAAAAGTAGAACACGAGCTAATTCAACTCCCAAAATAATCAAATGAAGCTAGTCAATGGATGCTTGACTTGGAAATCTCCTTTCACGGTACGTGAGACTTCATTAGTTTGCTATACAATTTACGAAGTTGATTTACAACTGTTTAGGTAAGTTCCTTCTCTACGTTGAGACTTACCAACAGAATAAAGGTAAAAATTATATTGTAGACAAGAACGAGCACCATCTTGTTTGATTCTCAATAGTACAGACGATAGCGATAATTGACCCAGCAAATTCCAAGCAATTAAAGTCCTCCAAACGATGTTCACTAAATCGATTTTTTCAAATATAGCTTGCTTATTCTTTTTGCTAATAAATTGATTTTCTAAATATAGCTTCTAGAATTCTGAGACCTTCTCCTTGTAGCTAGGCCACGTGCTGAAATGCTGGAATTTCATCCTCCATGTTTAGACAATTGGACTTACTGTTAATTTTAATTTCTGAATAACAGAATTTTAGGCTACTCTGACGCGCTTTCCTGCTACGCATGAATTGGATTGCTTGGGCATGCTTACTGTTCCTCTCTCCCACTTCTCTTCGTCATAGGTGCAGAATAACAAAATACCAGAGCAACCATCCGCTTAATCAGACGGGGATCTAGGATTTGAAGGGTTCAACCTCCATAACTCTTAGCATTGAGCATATTATATTTTAAAAGTTATAAGTTCATATCTACTAATTTTTATAATTTTGGTGGATTTTTACCCAGAAATTTATGTTCTACGTCAAAAGTACTGGATTCAGTTGAACCCATCCGCCCCTTCGCTTAACAAAGAAACTGGAATATTAAACTTCTATTGTTCCTCTCTCCCCCTTTTCTTCGTCGTAGGTGCAGAGTAACAAAATAGCAGAGCAATCATCCGCTTAACAAAGATACAGGAGTATTAAACTTCTAATGTTATTATTTTTTAAACTGCTAAGCACACTATTACACTTATTTGTACTAATCGCAATGAGAGATGAAACATGCACCCGGAGAAAGCCTAAGGTATTTTAAATGCTAAACTTAGCAACTAATAGATGCAGCTGGTTTATGTTGTGCAGTGTGTGCTGGCCCTGGTTGGTTAATCTCGCCATTATCCATCATCAAACTTGTTCTATTCTTTTCTTTCTCTTGTTCCAACGACCTGTACTCTCCAAAGTTCGCGTAGGAATCATTAGCTTTCCCAACTAATCCAGGTTCCTGGATATTGTCAGTTTCGTTTCCTGTAACACTTCTTTCTGGTGTGACCTTATCTGGAATATCTCGGTTCACGTCACCTGCACTGCTATCTTCATCAATTTGAGTCTCTAGCTTTTCTCCAGATCCACGTTTCTCCTCGACTTCTGGTCCGGCTTCAGCAGCATTTGTTCCTCCAAGGGCTGCATCTGCTACCAGTCCCTCGAAATTATCCTTGTCCATGGAATTGTTATGGACCTTGGCATCAATGGCAATGATTTCCTCTGAACCATTTCCTGCCAATTTATCTCTTCCATTGTCTACCTCAGTGTCATTAGTGGCTTCAATTTTCTTCTCTGAAGCATCTCTATCAGGCATTTCCTCTTCTTTTTTGTACTCTCTGTCTTCTTTCTTAGGCCCCATCTCGTCCTTCTCCTTGTCCTCCATTTCATCTTCTACTACATTATCCTTTTCTTCTCTAGCAGATTCCATCTCTTTCTTGTCTGATACATCCATTTCCTTATCTTTTTCTGTAGCTGAAGATGTTCGACGTCGTTTCTTTGTCGGCTCAACCCCTGCCGTAGGGGGCATTGCCTTGATACTCCAATCAAATTCTGATACACCAGGATTTCCATCGTGTGTTTTCAGGTACTGCACTAACTGTTTGCGGTTCCTGATCTCCTCTCCAGTTGGAGCAACAAATACAACCTCATTCTTCTTTACTTTACCCCCTTTCTTTGGCATGACCTGCAAAGTAACATAAAAAGAAATAATGTAAGTTATCCAACTACGCTTGCTTAATTCCCTTGTCCACGATACCCCCTTTCTCCCAAAGGAACCCCACCCACCTCCCACCCCCCGGCCCCCAAAACACCCCACATCCCTACGGTGCAGCTTATGGGGCAACTATTCTTCAAGAATCGATGGAGATTTTGCACGCTGATCTCTCAAACAAGAATTAAATCATACAGAACACTACGCTCATAATGGTGATACATTAACCACAGAAACGTATTATCTACCCTGTATAACAAAACTACATGATTTACCACCAAATAGATGCAGAAAATGAAGGAAGAAAATTAATTCCTCCCATCTGTTGGGTATAGGATCTTCCTCTCTCTTTTCAGGGAAAGAAGAGGAGAGCGTAATAAAACGAATAAGATTTTATTTTAGGGTCTTCTGGCTCCTTGAAACTAGGGTGAGGTTTGCGTACATATTACCCTCCCCAGACCCCACTTGTGAGATTACACTGTGTCTGGTCTTGTTCTTGTTGTTGTTTGTTGTTGAATGTGAGGAAAATATTAAGTTGCAACTTACAGCACACATCTGCCTCAGTTACACCTACTTTCAAAACTAATCCATTGTTGAGGAACAATTGAAATATTAGGCAGCAACTGACTTCTCAATCAAAACAACGGTGATTCACGCAACTCTCGTCCCATCCAATGATTTGACTTAAGTTCCACTATATTATCACTCTCGCTTCATTGTAAATTCATTGTGTCAAGTGTTCTGATTATGCCCTGGCTCTAAATAGAAATTGACCTCGTGGCTACTGCAACAATATAATAAGCTACTAGCATAATTTTGCCAATTCAAAAGTTCAAGTCTTCAGTAAATTTATTTCATTTTCTACTTGCCTTAGTCGCAATCGTGAGTCTACCAACATAGCGTGCTAAAGCAAAATAAACGACACTAGAGAAACTGGAGAAAGAAAGAAAGAAATACCAGTTTCTTCCAAGAAGAAGGTGCAGGAAGCTCCAAAGCCAAAACTTCACCCATCTCCGTATTACTTGCCATCATTCTCTCCTCCAAAAACTAAACTTCTCTGTTTTGTGCATATATCAGTAAAATAAAATCACAAGCCACTGTCGGCTAAGCTTGGTTTGATAAATAAAGCCGCCCGAAATGTACAAAACCGCCTCAGCACGCAACGGATTGACCAACACGTGCCATTAAGCCAAGTTTCGAGGAGCCTTATCGCCTCCGTACCCCCTAACCCCAATACTTTATTAAGTAGTGGTTTATCTACCAATGTTAAAGTTCCAAGTGTACGGATGAGATTCGTTAATTAAAAGCTAATTCTGGATAACGTATTTATTCTCCTAGGTCTGTCATCAAAGTCGGTGGAAAGTATCTATATATCATGATTTATTAATAATTGGTGATCTATGAGAAGGTGCTAGATGTTTGTTTGACACGTGGTTTCTGCTGGCTTACGTGCATTGCGCTAACATTTCGAGAGAGACCTAAATGCTTCACGCCTTACATCTGACCGTTTAATTCACAATCGAAGTGGTAACCGTTCGATGCCGTCTGTGTGATGCACATGTACCTGTTGCTGTTCTGGTCCCGTTTAACATAGACATGGATCTCGTGCCACGCCACGGTTTTTTGTGGATAACGTTCCCGAATACGCTATTAATTGAATTTAAGCATACCATTTTGGGTCCGGAATCTCAGTCCTCTACTCTCTCTTTCTTAGGCAATTCAACCTTAGAGCTTATTTTTAAAAAACATATTTATCTGTAAAATATGTGCAGAAGATATTGAGAGAATCATTCATGAGCCTTATTAATAAAGCTGCACTACACTTCTGCTAGTGTTGTAGATTTCTTTTTAGACTTGGGTGTAATACAGCAAACAACTTACTTGTTTGCCAAAATGATTATATTTACACTACTAAAATATGTGCTGCTTTAGTGTGAACAACAACGAACTCGGTAATATTTTATATGTAGGGTATAGAGAGGATAGTATGTACACAGACCTAACCTCTACCCTCGAAGGATAGAAAGGTTGTTTCCAAATAAATCCTCAGCTCAAGAAAGATGAAAAAATTAATAAAAACAAGCAATATCAACAATAAGGACCAGAAAAATAATAACAACAAACTAAGAGCCAAAAAATAGATGAAAAGATGCCGTAGCAACAAGCATTGGCCACAACAAGATACTTTAGTGTGAATTTTTATTTTTTTTCAAAATCTTTTGGGAGTGTTTTAGTACCCTAATTTTTAAGTTTATTAGATAACGAACTGCCATTTTGCCAGAGGCTAAAATATTGCTACACAGGTCAATTCTTAGGTCCACATATGAGGACAGTGCTGAATTAACAATTTGTTCTAACGATTCTTCTCAGGGTTTAGCTTAATTGCACACACTTGAGAATCGGCCCAACACAACAATATGGAGGTAGCCAAGTCAATTGGGCTAGTTTTAGCGTGGGTTAGTGGCCCAATTCTAAAGAGCACGCGACTGATGGGCCTTATATATGTTTAGAAAGGTGGAAATGACACTACGTAGGCACTTTTAATCATGTTGTTTAAAATAGGAAAATTACCAGCTATGTCCATTTATAAGTAGCTCATTATAAAAATTGACCAATTGATAAAATATTAGTAATATTAGCCAATTAGCTATTTGTAGCAAAAAAAAAAATCAAATTTTTGCTTTGTTTTGAGTGGGTGTTATTAGAATAGATTGGGCACAACTTAAGGAGCTTGAATCTCAGTTTTGGGATGATTTGGTGAAGTTTTGAGGTTGTTTGAATTGAAAATTCGAAGTAAAAGCTGAACATGAAAAAAAAATGATATGTGTGTCACACTGTGTATCATTTGTGTATCACATATGTATCATATTTGTATCAATTGTGTATCATATGTATATCCATGTATACCTGTGTATGAGATATATGCGTGATACATGTTTGATACATGTGTCGCAGAAGACTTTTTTGAACTCGATTTAATTACGAATTTTGATATAAAACCAGTCTAAATCACCTCCAATCTTCCTCAAATTTTGTATATTGACTTATCTACATATTTTCAATGAATTTTAACTATACCCATTGAAAAAGTTCCTTTTTTGTTTAGATTTTTGGAATATTGTATAGATTTTTGTATTTCATCACCTTATTTGCTACCCCGTCCATGAAATTTCCTTTCCGTTTTGTATCTAATGTTGCTAATCACGCTTAAAAATATGGAAGGTGATTTTTGCATGTGATTCTTTGAGAGAAAGAACCCTATTATTTGGTTTTTCAATTTTTGTTGGCTAGTTTTGGTAAGTATACGACTAATGGCTAGAGGTTGGTAAGTTGAGATTTATTTGGGACATTTGTGTAAGTTTCCCTTTAAAATATATCCATAGTTTACAATATATTTAAAGATTAGCAAATTTCGCTCAAAATTTAGGACACGCCGTCCTAGTTTAAACCTCAAAATTCAAACACGTGTCCTAAAGTTCGAAAATTGTGTCCAGAAATTCGAATCTTATGTTTTGAATTTAAATGTTTTGAATTTAAATTAGTAGGTCAGAAATTCAGGACTTAGTCTTGAATTAAATAGCTAGCTTAAAAGTGACTATTGTTGCACTTCGCCCGAAGCAAATGGAAAAGGAACGCATTTCTCAAGTTTGGCAATGATCGCACTCGAGATGATCTCTCTTTCCAATATACCAGATTTGTGTGGTTGGCCAGAGTGCTTCTACTTTTTCTTCAGATAGAGTTAACGATTTCGGAGGAAAGCAAAGGCCAGAGTTATTCATCTTAGGTTAACCAAACAAATTTGGTCCACTGAACTTTCAATGGGACACGTTCAAATCCAATATCCAACAGAAAAAAAATGGAGGGAAGGTATTCTTGAAGAGGAATTGAATCCCCTCCAATGTTAGATTTAGTCATTAGAGCCTCTTAAGTGTTTTCTGGAGAATTAGTGAGCACTTATCATACTACAGAACAACTAGCTTTATGCTTTATTTCAGAGTAACGAAGGGTACAAATGATATCACTCGGTTAACAGACATCACAAAATTATAATTAGTCAGAACTCTAGTTTTATTAGTGCTTGTAAAAGAGACAGGAAGAGAACTCTTCATAGTCGAAACTCGAGAGTAATCATTTCCTAGCTACTTATATAGTAGTATTAGTTATCTAAACTATTTGCTCCAGAGTGTGATTAACAAAAGAACAGACTGCAAAACTAAGAAGCAGCAGTCAAGGGAGGTCGATGAGATGGTGCACCAAAGTAGTTCTGGGTTGCTGCTGAATTCCAAATTGCCTACTTCCCTCGCTTACTTCTTCTTCCTCGTTCTCGTCCTCTTCTTCAGCATCCCACAGGAATCTAGCATACGAGGCCAGCACATAGCTGCATTAACAATATAGCACCCATTCGTCATGTTAAAAGACAAATAAGCACACCACCATAATCTTAACAGGGTCAACAACAACAACAACAAAAAACCCAATGAATTCCTACAAGCGGGGTCAGCGGAAGGTGATATGTATGCAGCCTTACCCTTACCCCTGGAAGACAGAGAGACTGTTTCGGGAAGACGCTCGGCTAAAGAAATTGTGTGATAGTGTGGGCAAATGGACCACCAAGATTTTACAAGAGAGTGGACAAATAGCATAAAAATGTGGTCCATCTATAGTAGAGCTATTCAGGCTGGAATCAGTTGAAGGTTCCATCAATCATTAACGTGATAGCAAATAGCAATGCCCAATAAGTGACAACTAAAATTTTTTTACTCATCTAAGGATTTCAAATGTTAAAAAGAAAGAGAAGCAGTGCATATGCATACCAGTCATCAGGGTCAGATTTCACGGCTTGATCAAAGTATGTGTGGGCACGACCTGCGTCTTTTTGGGTTTGCCATATTAGATCAGCGTAGAGTGACAACACATTACCATCATTTGGGTTTGCTAATATTGCTCTTCCGCAGTACTCCTCAGCTTTTCCTAAATCTCCCTTAACCTGTTTGCCCCAGTAATTGGCATCAAATGACCCAATAAATCATTATTCAGAGGCAATGAAAATCTAATCTACAATTGCTTACCTCTTTCAAGAATCTGGCATAATTGGCCAGAAGGAGACCATTTCCTGGATTGGCTTCGATCATTTTCTGGTAATAAGCCTCCGTACTCTCATGTCCATGCCAACTATTTGAATCTTGAGAATCCGGCCCATCTCCATCACGTGACCCGCCGCTGCCGCCTCCACCGCAAACTCTACCTCCACCGCCTCCACCTGCACCGCCCGCCACTAGCGACTGCAACACCCTCCCTTTTTCCTCAACAGCCGCAGCAGAAGTCTCCTCCTCCGCCTTTCCCAAGCCGGAATTCGACAACAATCTCCTCACCTCTGTCGAACCCACTTCTCTCTCTTTTAGCTTCGCCGGCTTCGGCTTCTTTGACCCATTTTTGTTCTTCTTGGGAAGTACAGCTGGATCTCGTAGGTCCGATTCGCGCATGCACCGGCTGGATGAATGTTTGGTCGGAGATTCATCATGACCAAACGACGTAGACATAGAATGAGATCCAGTCCTAATCAATTGCGGCGTCTGTATTGGTATTATCTTGTCTGATTCCGGCGACGACCCGCAGGAGATTGGTACCCATGAATTCAGTAAAGGACTTGATGAACTTCTTAATAGCATCTTTTGGATGAGATCAATCGCAGATTAGGTTTTGTTTTCAGGAATCAGAATGAGTAACCAAAGGAGTCCCTCCAAAGGAGGAGAGAGTGAGAAGTGGTTGGCTGAGTTGAAACTTCTAAAGAAAAAAGAAGATCGCTGATGGAAATAAATCAGAGCCGTTGGTTGGCCAAATGCCGCGGAAACCGACAAAAGTCAGTGTGATATAAATCTGCACGTTGAATATGATATTTAGGTGGTGACTACCATACTGCGTGGGTCCAGTTCTGCTCAGTGGGCTACAAATAATTTTGGGACTGTTACATGAATAAGGGGGCATTTGTATCTATACTTAGTTTTTGGTTCACAATTTAATTTATATTTGCTTTGCTAAAAATTATTACAATTGTACCTACTTTTCGGGTAACTTCAGACATACGAAACCTGAAGTAGCAAGAATTTATGTCATTTTTTGTCTGAAGTGTAACCTTATCAAAGTAAAACTTCAGATATTTTCGTTTGAAGTTTGGTCTGACTTGCAAAAGCAATCTAAAACTTCAGTTCGTAGTGCAAACTTCAGACAA